CTATTTAAAAGGTCATTCATTCTGATCTTTTTTACAAAACTGGAGTTGTTCCTTCATGGGCAATTTTCATGAGGTAACGAAGGTCATACCTGTACAGTTTACCAGAAACTGCCTCTTTTACTTATCTATTTAAGACTGATATCAAAAAATAGTAGATTCTTGCAGTACGGGAACATACCTTTAAAATAATAACAAATAAAATCACGTTTCCACGACAAGGGGTCTGAAACGACTCGAGTCTTGCTCGGTCAATGTCTGTCAATACTTTCCATTCTGTAAAAGCAATAGGGCTGCAACAACAACAACAAATAAAATGCCGAAGGGTTCAAAACAGCATGTTTTGGTTTGGAGTAATTAAAATCCTATCATGGTTGTGTGTTATTTTTCCGTTTAAACATACTTAGAGCAACTAACACATGATAGCATTGTAAACGTAGTTATAGCCATTGGGGGTTATGTCAAAACAAAATAACAACAACAAAAAATGTAAACAAAAGAAGTTTGACGTACATCACGAAAAATTAGTTCTGTTGCAGAGTAATTGGCACTCCCAATTAAACACAAGATAATTGCCAATTAAAATGGGCAAATTATGTCTCAACTAAAGACGAATTTACTATGGATTTATCTTCGAACTCCAAATCATACCATTGGGAATCGTTAGTGGTTTCTTGTGGACTGGTAGTGATTTTAAGTCATCCAGATTTGAGACAAATAGCCTTTAATTATTTTGCCTTTTCTGTGGTGGCACCATTCGTGCTTTTAACAAAGGTATGTATGGGTGTGTGTTAAGATTTTTTTTCGAATTGTAAACAATGAATAATAACGATTTATTGATTTATTGCACTATTTGTTTTTCAAAGTTTATTGAACAGAAACAACCTCCACCTGACCAGAATGCAAGGCAAAAGTATTTCTCCTTTAGTAAAGTTTTAAAAAAGGTAAATTATATGCTTTCAATGTTATCTAAAATAGAACTCATTAATAGTTTTTGATGTTTCTAGTTCACTGGAAAACATCGTAGATCTTCGACCAAAAGAACGACAAATAAATTCAAGAGGTATCCCTGGCTAAGTGGTATACTATCTTCATCGCTTAAAATTTGTAAAACCGTGGGTGTTATTTTATATTAGCAAAAATATATAATCTGAATTTATTTTACTAATTTTTTTTACAGGTGGCTCGTGCAATTTCTCACAGAAGAAGTTTAACAACTAATAAACGTCCTTACTCTGTTGCATCATTGGCAGCAGCAAATTATGATTCCACATTAAATTGTATTGTGTGTCTGGAGCGTAGCAAAAATATTTTACTTTTACCTTGTAAACATATTTGTTTGTGTTCCATTTGTACGCAACAAATCATGTTCGAACAACAAGCGAAAATCTGTCCATTATGTCGTCAGGACATTAACGAAACCATAGAAGTATTTATATAACTTACAGAGAGAAATGGAATGATGGAAAAATAAAAAAATATATATTTTCAAAAAATTAATAGGAACTAAGAATAACTTTGAATTGTCCAAATTAATTGATGATCTATTTTTGTTCATATAGTAAAAAAAAAAATAAAAAAATATTCTACCGGTGACCAAAGTATCAACATTCGAAGTCCACCCTGAAATCAAAAATATGTTTGTATGAGGGGCCCAAGAGTGAGACTATTTTGTCTTACGTCTTTTTCACAAATGTACTGAGATGACAGTCGTTGGCCATATCTCGCATCGAAACGGGTGGTTGTTGCAACGCTACTGTCTTTACACAATTGGCTGAGGTTACAGTCGTTGGTTGAATAATATTTGGGTCGTTCTGCATCGTAGAATTCACTGTCAGCTTTAGGTTTGATGGGTTTAAAGGCTCGTCTCGGATTTCTCTGATAATTTCGGAACTCCGAAGCAGTCATGGTAGGTTATGTTGGTTCAATTTTAGTCGCAGTTTCCAACCATAGTAGCTTTAATTTGATGTATGGTATTCACAGTGGGTGGAGAATATTCAGGTCCAAAATAATCAATATCGGTTCACATTTTTTATTGTAGTATCGAAGACAGCTTCCAATCGCTTTGGTTATAATCTAGAATTGTTGTTTGAATTGCTTCAGACCAGGCGTATTTTCGAATGTCCATGTAGTGTTAGCACTCCACTTAATATGATGGGTCCTGAAAAAAATTTTCAGGATACCAACTCTATTGGTCCACCCACAATATAAATTGTACCAAATTTAGTACACAGTAGTACGAATTTACAAAACATACTACTTAACCCAAACCTACACCCACAGTGATCCTTAATCCAAGTTTCAGGATTGAAACTTTATCCCTTCAACCACAATTCAAATTTTACCAAATTTAATACACAGAAGTACCAATTTCCAAAACTTCCTACGTACCCCAATCCTACACCTGCACAGTGATCCTAAATCAGAATTTCAGGATTCCAACTCTATTGGTTCACACACAATATAAATTGTACCAAATTTAGTACACAGTAGTACGAATTCCCAAAACTTACTACTTAACTCAAACCTACACCCCCACAGTGATCCTTAACCCAAGTTTCAGGATTGAAACTCTATCCCTTCACCCACAATTAAAATTGTACCAAATTTAGTATACATTTGTACAAATATCTAAAACTTCATACGTATCCCAATCCTACACCTACACATTGATCCTAAATCAAAATTTCAGGATTCCAACTCTATCGCTTCACCCACAATATAAATTGTACCAAATTTAGTACACAGTAGTACGAATTTCCAAAACATACTACTTAACCCAATCCTACACCCCCACAGTGATCCTTAATCCAAGTTTCAGGATTGAAACTTTATCCCTTCACCCACAGTTCAAATTTTACCAAATTTAATACACAGAAGTACCAATTTCCAAAACTTCCTACGTACCCCAATCCTACACCTGCACAGTGATCAAAATTTCAGGATTCCAACTCTATTGGTTCACCCACAATATAAATTGTACCAAATTTAGTACACAGTAGTACGGATTTCCAAAACATACTACTTAACTCAAACCTACACCCCCACAGTGGTCCTTAACCCGAGTTTCAGGATTGAAACTCTATCCCTTCACCCACAATTAAAATTGTACCAAATTTAGTATACATTTGTACAAATATCTAAAACTTCCTACGTATCCTAATCCTACACCTACACAGTGATCCTAAATCAAAATTTCAGGATTCCAACTCTATCGCTTCACCCACAATATAAATTGTACCAAATTTAGTACACATTAGTACCAATTTCCAAAACTTCCAACATACCCCAATCCTACACTCCCACACTAATCCTAAATCCAGGTTTCACGATTCCAACTCTATCGGTTCACCTACAATTTAAATTGTACCAAATTTAGTACCTAGTAGTACCAATTTCCAAAACTTCCTACATACCCTAATCCTACACATCACACAGTGATCATAAATCAAAATTTCAGGTTTCCAACTCTATCGCTTCACCCACATTTTTAATCGTACCAAATTTAGTACACATTAATACAAATTTCTAAAACTTCCTTCATATCTCAATCTTACACCTCAACAGTGATCCTGACTCCAAATTCCATGTTTCAAGCTCTATTGATCCAAATAAAATTCAAATTGTACCAAATTTAGTACCATTTAGTACCCATAAGTATTAATTTCTTAAACTGAATCATGACCCCAATTCTACAAACCGATCTATTGGTTCACCCACTTTTCGTACACATAAGTAACAAATTTCGAAAACCACGTACATATCCCAATCCTACACTCCGATGTTAATGTTAATTTCAAACTTCAGAATATAGTACTTTTCGTATTATACGTACACTTGAGTACACGCTTTCAAAACCATTTCCTTAAATAGACCCTGCATCTCAACCCTTATTCGCATTCCAAATTTCATTTTAGTAGATTTTAGAACTTTTCGCATACTTATAGTTCGAATGTCCAAAAAACCCTTTGCTATATCTATTCTACACTCCATAAGTGACCCTCATTTAAAATTTAAGAGTTCTAACTCTACCGGTCCGCCAAATACAAATGGTATCACATTTAGTACTTTCTGTACCGTTCTAGTACGAATTTCCAAAAACCCAGCCTTATCTGTCACCTTTGGATCAGTCGTTTGGTCTGGGCGTTGATGAATCGTTGAATCCGTCAGTCAATCACTTTACTCTTTTATTAGTATAGGTTTGTAGTTTCAAACACTGCCAAAAGTTGGCCTGGTATATATTCATGAACAGATTTGCATGGTTCAGTGTCATTTGCTATCAGAACCGTTCCGTTTAAAGGTCTAATTTTTGTTCTTCGTATAAATTTGAAAATTATGCGATAATTATCAATGGACGTATTCTAAATCTTGGATAACTGAGTGGTTAATTTCGGAGAAATGCTAACAACACCATAGCTTTAAGGACATTTTTGATCTCTCAATTATTTTACAATAGCTGTTCCGCTCCGAATTTCAATTATTGAATACTTTGCTTAATTAGTTCAACTTACTCCTTTCAGTCTGCACTGGTTCACCGTTTTTTTTTCAAACCCATTAAAAAACAACAAATAAATGTGTGTGTATATATATTTGCTTATTTTGAAGCACTTTATATAATATATTTTGCATATATAAGCATTTTTTTCTTTCATTTTTTATATACTATATTTTTAAAATATCGTTAGAATATTTCATAAATAGTTCAAAGAAACATGAACATTATCATTATTACTATTAATTTTTCTTTATACATATTTCACTTTTTGTTTTTAAATCTACCATTTGTTTTATTGAATTCTATCAAAAAGACAAGAGGAGAAAAAGGGCAAATGCAAATAAAATTAATAGAGATAAAATAATAATACAGAATCTAATTAAAGAAGAAAATAAAGAACATTAGTAATAATTATCATAAAAAGGAAATATTTTATAGATATTGTGACGTCTATTTAAAAAAAAAAATACCCAACAAATTCGAAAATGTTTTCATTCAACTTTGTCCTTTAATTTGATGATGGTGGTGGCTGTTGATCATTATTCGATGAAGAGTTTTGATTGTTGCCCGTATTAGCAGCACCACCTTGACTTGCGGCCGCCAATTGTTGAGCAAAACCTTGGAACAATTGTAACATATCATTGGGCATGGGTCCAACACCGCCCGCGCCGCCACCCAAACCGCCAAGACCTCCGATGCCACCAGCACCGCCACCACCACCTTGCATTCCCGAGAACAATTGACCAATGGTATTCATGACCATGGGATTTTGTGTCATTGACTGCAATTGTTCCAAATCGATTTCGGCACTACTGAACAAATTACGAATGGCAGGATTGGAAATCATTGCGTTGAGACCCTCTTGAAGATTGGGTATCACATTTGCACCGACATGATTGCGGGCATTACGGGCAACCTCCAAATTATTGCGATAATCTTGATTATCGGGTTCCAATTCTATAGCCTTGGCATATGCCTGTTGGGCCTCTTCGTACTTGCCCAAGTTGGAGTAGGCAATACCCAAACGTCCATAGGCCTTACCATAACTGGGATTATATACGAGGGCAGATTTACAATCGGTAATGGCCTTTTCATTATCACCCAAACGAATATAGGCCGCAGCACGATTACAATAGAATATCGGATTCTTGGGATCGTAGGTGATAGCACGATTATACTGCAGCAAGGCTTCATTGTATTTGCCATCCTTCATCAGGCGATTACCTTCGTTCTTAATGGCCTCTGTCATTTTCAAAATTTCTGGATTCCTTTCGACATAGTGCATTTCGAACAGCTCGTAAAGATTCACCTCTTTGGCATTTACTTTTGATGTGCTCGATGCCTCTGTGGCACCGGCTTCGCCAGCCGGCGCTGCTGTTGTCTGTGACTGTTCCTCTGCCACCGCTTCTTCTTCGCCCAGATCAAAGGCTGCCTGCAGACATTGAATTGCCACTTCACAGCTCTCCTGGGCATCTGGAGAAAATGCCTGTGAATCGATTTGTTTCTTCAGGTAGTCAATAAAGCTACGAACAAATGTCTGCTGTACTTCGTCCGGCATCTTAGTAACAATTCTATTTATATAAAAAAATACTTCTTGAAATTCACACGTCAAATGTTAGAACAAATTTTTTTCCGGAATACGACGGATATTTTCTAAAAATGTGCCTCTTTTTTCTCTTGTGGAGAATAGGGTTGCCAAAGGTGAATAAATAAATTTGTTATCATTTGACCTAAATGAAGTTAGCAACGTAAAGCAGAACGTAACAGTGACGTATATACATTAAATGAAATCTGTTTTAATAAAACCCGTCATTTAAAGTACGTTTACACATACAAACGATTTATTGGAGATATATTTGTTCCTATTTCATACGTTCAATTCCAAATGTGTCTGGCTGGAGCAAGTATATACATAAGTGGTCTGTTCCATTTCTACAAGAATCTACTACTTTTTACTTTGATAACAAATTTATCTTTTTGATATCGAAGAAAATAGTAAAATCTAGTAGATTCTTGCAGTATGGGAACAGACCAAAGGTGATTTTTACTCGAGAAATTTGGCAGTGTATAAATGGTAACCAGGAATGCCAATAGCTTAGAACCGCAAGAAATATGACTATCATATTCTCTGGACCCCCAAAATTGTTCCATATAAACGTTAGTTGTTATAAACGATATCAAATAAAGTGTAGACTTTTTTCGGGACTTTTGGACATCGATAACGAATGTAATTTTATTTAATTTTTATTTCAATTGGTTAAAGGGGAAACACATACGAGGATTCAGGTCTGGCCTGTTAAAGTACATTTACATATACGATTTTAAATCGACTCGATAAACGAAATCCAATACACCCTAATTGTAATAGTATCATGGTTTAAAATAAACCCTGCCGTTCGGTGATTTATGGTAATGTGTCATCAATTCGCGCCCAATACGAATTGAGACGACTACACCATCCTGATCTCAGTTGTGCCAGCACCACTCTCGTTTGTCCCGGTAGCTGCTGCTCTTCTGCTGCTATCGATGGCGGGTGAACCCCGAGGGTTGTATTCACTCTGTATTTTTGAATTGCTTCCTCAACTGCATCCGAGCGAATACGATTCAAACCTGCTTGATAGGCCTGCTGATCTAGAGGCTCTCTTTTATACCTCTGGACTTCTCTCTCTAGATCATGAAGATCCTTCCTGACGTGCCTGGGCGGTGGGTGCCTATCTTTTAGGTTGTGGTTAGGATGGCTGCTTCTGCAGCACCCAAGGAGATATTGCACCGACAACATCATGTAAGTGGTCTATCGGAGTCATGATGGCGGCATTTTGGCAAGATTGAATATTTTTCAATTGCGTGGCACTTACGTTGGCGTACCACACTGGAGCCGCATAATTTACCACAGACCGGCCTATTGCATGGTACAATTATAAAAGGTAACAGCAAATCCCAGCTGATTCGATTCCAACGTAATACTAGTGTCATTTGAATTTGACAAATTATGTTTTTAAAAATCACCCAACAGGAAAATTGGGAACGGATACAATTTGAAATTTTTCTTTATTAAATGTGCTCCCGTATTCAATTTACTCAATCTGCCTGCTGGGAAAGTTTGAGGAAGCAAATCTTTCTTCAAGGAATAACTCGCTATTCCCAGCATTTTCATATGTGTTACACATATATATGGCAATGGCTCAATTATAGGAAAGATGTGGAAGCGATAGAAATATAAATTTGACACATTTTCATTCATGTTTTTCAATTTTTATTTTGAGTATTCAAAAATATTTCATTTTCAAAATAAAAATAATTTGATGATAATTTGTTTGTTTGTTTACATTTTTCTGTCAAATGAGTTGACACTAGTAGAACTTACAACAACAAATTTACATGTGGTTGTTGTATCGTTTTTTGTACAACAACACTTGCTGTTACCTTCTATTATTATACCATGGGCCTATTGCTTTGTAGGTTGTCAACAAGGTTTCTTTATCAGCTCCCCAAGTACTGCCGGCTAGTGACTTGAGAACCTTGTTCCTGCTCCTGACCTTATTGCAAATAGCTGTGGCATGCGCGGACGACTTCTAAAGGCTATCGAATGTGACCCCTAGAACCTTGGGATAATTTGTGGTCGGTTTTATGGACCCATCGACCTACACATTCAAGGGTAGCCTCATCTCCGCTGTCCATGTGGTAAACAGTGTTGCCGTTGACATTGTGGTGGATATTTTCATATTCTTCGCGTGGAAAATCTCTGCTAAATTAGCGAGATAGGCATTCACCCGATCGCATATGTCATATATTTTGGGCCCCGAGCCCATGAGCGTACAATCATCCGCGTACGTTATGATCTCAACGCCGTCAGGTGGGCGTGGAATACCAGAAATGTAGATGTTGAACAGTTCCGGAGATATCACCCACCTTGGGAACTCCCTGTTTCACTCTACGGGTCTTGGACTTCTTGTTTCTGAATTCCACGTACGACTGGCGCCCGCACATATAATCAATGACCCAACGTTTCAAACTTGGCTGGAGGGTCGTTCCTTCGACGTCCTCGAAAAGCATGGCGTGATTGACAGTATCAAATGCTTTTGATAAGTCAAGCGCCATTCGTCAAGTCAAGTCCATTCGCGATGCGAGCGGAAATGGCGTGTAAAGCTGTTGTTGTACTAAGCTTCTTCCGAAATCCGTGTTGATGATCAGCACCTGCGTAGCATTCTCTGATGCTTGGGATTAGAAGGGCCTCGAGAGTCTTGGCTACTGGCGACAAAAGTGAAATCGGCCTGTACGATTCACCTTTGCTGGCATCCTTGCCTGGCTTTAGTAGCGGGGCCACCCTGCCCATTTTCCAGACATCGGGAACTTTTAGGGTGGCTAACGACAAGTTGAGGACCTTAGTCAGGTACTCTACTCCTGGTTCGTCCAGTTGCTTCAACATCACCATAGAGATTCCATCTGGACCAAGCACCTTCGATGACTTTGCGCTTCTGATGACATTTGCAACATCATCCAACGTAAATTGTGGTGGTTCCTCCTCGGCCTTGAGAGATCGAATGCGTCGCAATGCTCTTCCCATCGCTCTGTCGCTCTCGGGGTGCTCAATAAATAGCCGGTTAAAATAACTCGCGCGCCTCTTCGGATCTGTCACCTCAGCGCCGTTAAATGTGCAGAAGTCCGTTTCACCGTTTACCACAATTTACTCGATCCGGTACCGATGGTGCAACACTTTAGATGTTCTAGCCACTTTATCCGCTTATGCTCGCCGACTAATATATTGACTTCAAGGGTTTGTACGACGAAGCTCATCACGCTCATTCGCTAATCCCGCTGCATCTGCTGAGAAATTAGGTCTTAATTCGGGTATTCGACCAGCAGGTATATAGCGAGCTGCAGCAATGATGATGTCCAGGAAATTCGTTTCTGCTACCCGAGCATCTGAAGAATTGGGCAGTTCTCTAAAGCGACGATTGTTGAAATCTCTGAACTATTGCTAATTAGCTTTCCCACGGTTAAGAAAAGTACGGCGTTCAGATATTATGAAGTCGAGAGGTGGTCTGACCCAATTGAAATGGCGGGTTGCCAAGTCACGTCATTCGTCAGACTCGGGACACGATGGATATGTCCGGTGAGCTCTGGCAATCTCTCCTTATCCTGGTGGGTACATCCTCATTCATCGTGCAGAACGCAGAGCTATCAATTTGCTCGGCCAGCGCCAGCCTCCTCCGGTCATTACCTAAGACGGAATGCCATAATACATGGAGGGCATAAAAATCCCCTAGCACCAGACGGTTATTGTCTTCCAAAAGATAACTAATGTCAGGCAAGTAACGTGGGACATACGTTATACACGTTAAACACCTATACCTCGTTATACACGTTAAACACTTATACGGCGGGATATACACGTTAAACACCTATACCTCGGCGGTTCCACACTTGACTTGACACTCGATGTAAGGGTCATTAGAGTCAAGCTCATACGAAATAGGTCTGTACTGGACAGAATGGTGTAATAGGAATGCTATTCTTCCAACTCAACTTCTTGTACGTTCATTCCTTAAGTCCTGATTTATATTAGGCGAGTTTACTTGCGGCAATTTTTATCGTTCTCTTTTGAACTTGCTCCATGCGTCTATACAAGGCAATTCGGTTTCCAAAATATTTTTTTATTTGTTGTTTTTTCACATTTAAATATATACATATAAAATGTCAACAAATACGAAATACACAAAACGAATTGCCAACTCGGTAACTTTTTTTTCTTCTACAAACAAAGGCTTGCCGCAAGTAAACTCGCCTAATCTAAATCAAGACTAAGACGTATCCATCACAACTGTAAAGCCTACTAGTATTACTCAGCTTCGTTTCCTGGATCGCCGCGACCATGATATTTCTGCGGCTCATAAACTCCACTATTTCGCTGATTTTTCCTCGAAGTCCATCGTAGTTGAATTGGAGAAACGATACAATATCCGGAGTTGTGACAGCAATGCGCGGTGTTAGTGGCTGCGGCGCCGACTGCTGTTGTGGAGATTGCGGAGGAGTGTCGTAATCGAATGACGACGACGATGATATCGTGGACCTCGATAACGACTCGCTGGGATCTGCGTTGGCGCAGCACGGTTCATTGTAGTCCCTACCGCTGTACTCCTGTACCCGGTTTAAATCGGAACAATTCCGAAAGTGTACCCATTCTCCGCATCCATTGCATTTCACCCATGTTGACCTGCGGTGGATGCGTATTTTCAAACTGAGCAGATCCCGGCTCGGACCAGGAGACACATACACATATAACTGGGGTGGTAGCCGCTGGCCGAAACGAGGTTGTTGTTGTTTCGGGTCAATCCGGTATCGAAGAACCCGCCGCCGTGTGATTGATAAATTATTTGTTTTTTTTTAATATTAAAAATAAATAATTATAAACAAATTATTTAGTAATTTTTGCCACTGAACACATGATATCCGACATTTCGAAAGAATATATTTTCATTTAAATTTTGAAATCTGAATACTGTCAAAGGCAATTTTATGAAAACTTGGAAACATGAGACTACCTCGTATAATTATGCAATGTATGGCTTTGATACTACTTTATAAATTGAAATTGTATACAATGCCTACTTAACATGCCATGCTTGAATCCTCGTATGTGATTTTCCCTTTAATCCCATTTGTGTTTCCCCTTAATTCTTCGAATGTGTTTTCCAATTTACTTTTACCGTTTTACAACACTGCATGTATAAAAAGGCATACATATGATGAAATATGGCAACCCATTGAGATGACGCCATTTCATAGCAAGGAACGCCGTTATGTGAAAATAACCATCGCCTCCGGTTACATTTCAACGAGTCAAAAGTCGATTTACTTATCCCTAAACGAGACGCGCTATATAATTTTTTTCTTAACGAGATAGTACACGCTAGTTTTTTCGATGCTGACAAGGAAATATCAACTCAATTTATTAGTTAAAGTATAGAGAAATACATAGTATTGAAAAGTGAAATTAAATAATTGCCTAACTGAAATTGTGATTAACCAAGAAAAATATTGAAAAATACAATAAAAAACGGAAATAAAACCGGTCCCAAGACAAGTAAGTCAGACGAAAACGAAAAAACTAGACGAGTGGGCATAGAGAAGAAAACACAAGAGGAAGTCCGCTTCACATTTTTTATTTGCAGTTCTACAACGCCATCACAATAGGCAATAACGAAGAAAAAATAAACATGGATAACATTGAACATTTGTATAAATGCTATGAAATTTTATCAGAGGCTGGTGATAAAGTATCTGAGGTAAGTTATTGAAAACACGAAATATAATAAAAAAGAGCAACTAATATTTTTTTATGTTCTATTCTTATAGCACGTCAAAGAATATGAAGACATTTTAAAGGCCGTCAAGGGCTCGTCAAAAGAGAAACGTTTGGCCTCACAATTTATTGGTAAATTCTTTAAATATTTTCCTGATTTGTCAAATGCGGCCATTGATGCTCAGCTCGATTTGTGTGAAGATGATGATATGCAGGTAAGCCAAACATAAACAAAAATAACCAAGCCATACATATTTTCTATAGAAATCATTAACGTTCTTATTGTTATTGTTGTTGTATGCATGTTTTTGTTTTTTTCTAGATACGCCGACAAGCCATTAAAGATTTACCAAAATTATGTCAAGATACAGTTGGTATTACTTCAAAAGTTGGTGATATTTTAGCTCAGTTGCTAATTTTGGATGATCCATTGGAACTGCAGCAAGTTAACAATTCTCTACAGACAATCATTAAGGTATGGTCGAATATTTTGAAAGCCATAATTTTATATTTGGTAAATTAATGTATGTAATATTCATTTGCAGATGGATGCCAAGGGTTCTCTGACAGGAGTTTTCACACAGATTTCTACCGGTGATGAGGCTACACGTGAACGTTGCTTTAAATTCATTGCAACTAAACTTTTCGCCATGGGACCCACTGTGGTAACCAAGGAAATTGAAGAATTTCTTATCGATGAAATTAAAAAGATTTTACAGGTAAGTGGAATGATACTTTTTTTGAAACTAGCAAATATTATGTTTGAATGGACAACAGATAATTTTAATTTAAAAATTATTTTTACACGACCACTTTTAATACTAGAAGCGTGGAATCGGAAAGACGAACAAAACCATTATTAAAAAAGAGATCTATATTTCAATCAAAAAACTCCAATTGTCTATGGTTTTGAAAATTTTATCAATACCCAGATTCTGATCCTCCTCTAGATTTTGGCCTAACTTCTACCTACATTCTAACACAAGCGACATAGAATGCTCGAAACTCACCTCTACTTTTGACAGCATTATTCCTCAATATGTTGTAAGCAATTATCTAAAGCAATTGGTGCACTACAATGTTTTCGGAATCCATGAGATGTTGAGAAAGAATAATTTCTTAGAATGGTTTCAATATCCTTATCATATTTCATATTAGAAGAACGTCCGAATTTCCTCAATTCAAATATTGTTTTAAATTCGATTTTTTACGTACCCAGGCAAAAGTCTTTAATCGAACTATGACATGATAAAATACGAATACGGTTTTGCTTAGTTAATTCTATCACATTATTGTGGATTTTAAATATCGTTTTCTCCGCAATAAAAGTGTAGATTTTTAAAAGAAAATTCTGTAAGGAACATTTAAATAAAATCGTGCATTTTAAAAGTAAATTTTCTCAAGATTATTCAGTATTAAATGCTTGGATTTTTATAGAAAATGTTGCAGGGTGGCCAGCTTTCCAACCTGGTTTCAATACATTCACCAATGAAAAGAGCATTTTCTCACGGCTAAGGGGGGTTTTAATTAAATGGTTACATTCAAGACTCTCGAAAGACTGATCGACCTGGAGATTAGGAGACGTAAAGACACCACCTCTCTTAGCAACTCTCAACACGCATACATAAAGGCCAAGTCTGTAGAATCTGCACTTCACGAGGTGGTGGGTTACATTGAGAGGAATATTGAAAGTTCAAATATAGAGGAAGTCTTTGACAACGTTTAACTTGAATCCATAAACCACTCAAAGAAGTTGGCATTCCTGAAAATCTTACGTATTGAATAGATAAAATGCTAAAAAGCAGATTTATAAATTCAAGTGTGGCTATTGGTAATTAAGAACATACTGATGGAATTGGACGGGAAAGGTATCAAAGTTGTAGCTTATTTCCGGAAAATTTCCGACAACAATCTCGGAGCTTATGCAAAGAGCCTTACTGACGCTGGGCCAGGGCGAACTGCCTTGGTGTAAATCCAACAAAGACGAACTGGTAATGCTCACTAGGAAGCGTAAGCTCGGCGTTTTTGCTCCACCAACACTGGATGGAGTGTAACTACATCTATCTCCCGAAGCAAAGTACCTTGGCACAACCCTGGACTGTCAATGGAATAGGAACGCTGAGGCCGTCCTCAAGTGTAGATCAGCTTTGGAAGAACTTACGTACAGCTATCGGCTGTGTTGGATACCAGGACACCGTGACATCTTGGGTAATGAAAGAGCAGACGAATTAGCTAGACGATATTCTCAATCCGCAGATATAGCAATTGATTACTTAATCAAACCACCCATATGTCATCTTTACCGGAACTTTGAGACGTTTTTCGACGAAAGAACTTATGAACTTTGGCAAAACGAACCTAGGTGCAACGTGTCAAGATCCATTGTCTACCAAAAGAACGTACTCACTGTTGAACCTGAGCAAAGCTGAAATAAGAGTAATGACAGGAATCATTACTGGTCACTGCAATATCAGGACATTTACTAGTAAATGGGATCTTGATGTAATTTATTACTTTAGACTCTGCGTTGACGAGGAGGAGACGGAGACAATTGAGCATTTTCTCATGTCTGTCTCAGAGTGCTGCAGCCACATAAGTGACTGCACATCCCCAAACATAACCTAACCTACGGGTTACCATTTGATTACCGTTATATCCATAACATCTTCTTCATCAACTAGGCGTGATTTTTCTAGATATCAGTTGGGATTTGTTGTATTCAAAATGTATTCCTTAAAAAATCCAGGCTTCTGTTGGAGTTTGAAGAAATATTCTTTAAAAAATCCACGCTTCTGATGAAGCTTGCATAAACTTTATTTAATTAAAATGAATGCATCTGGAGGAGCTTGAAGAAACATTATTTAAAAATCGACGCTTCTGAAAAAGCTCGAAGAAATATTCTTTAAAAATAATATTTTATAAAATCCACGCTTCTGATGTACCTTAAAAAAATATTTTTTAGAAAAAATTAAGATTGGATAGTCATAATTTTTTTTTTTAATTGAATAGTTCGAATAAACTGCTGTAACTGTGGATGTTCGAAAAAATCTTCAAAAATTTATGCCAGGGATAGCACAAGAAATACTATTCTGAAAAAAAATCATATCACGCAACTCGAAGAAAAAATATTCCTTAAGAAATACACGCATATTTTAACTCTCATAAGCATCAACAATCTTGTTTTCATGATAAGTTTTACGATTGTTTCAAAGTTCTTCTTTGTCTGCTATGTGATTCATGTCTTTGTTTTCTAGTTAATGCTGATTAGTGTTGATGCTAATTAGTATTCAAAGATCTCCTCTATTATAACCTTAGGCTAAAATTCCTAATATAATTGAAAAAGGTTAACAAGGTCAAGAAACAAAACCATAAACATAGCATCTGCTGATACTTTACTTGACAGTGTGTTGAGAAAATATTTGACACAATGACTGAAGTGGAAAATATTAAATTCTGCGAAGAATTCGAAAGATACTCACACTTTCCATAATTGCAATTACATATAGAAAATAATTTTACCTGGGACATAAACGTCTAGATTAGGTTAACGGATACGTAACCGATCATCTCTCTCCAAGGATTTTGTCCATTTTATTCTCACTGGTTTAGTCCCATTTTCTATTCTAAACACAGACGGTAGTAGTCTATTTAAGTATACTTTGTGAAAATTTCTACCTTCGAGAGTGAATAGGGTGTTTGACGGTGTGGGTTTTTCATAACCCAAACATCTGTAGAGATTGTCAGTAACATGTTTTAGTATTTACTCATATATAATTGTTAGCAATTTTAGGATTTTTATTTAAATTTATTTTTAGGTGATATAATTATTTTTGTTTAAAATTTTATTAGGATGTAACCGCTGATGAATTTCAATTGTGTATGACAATTTTGGGTAGCACCAAATTGGGTACAACCATTACTGGACACGCTGAATTAGTTAATTTGGCTAAAGAGCAAGCTGAACTGAATGCAGATATTGACGCCATTACCGTTGAAGATGAAATTGTCGAACGTTTCATACAGTGTGCCACACATGCAATGCCATATTTCTCGGTGAGTTTTTATCAAACACATTTATTTTCAAAAACATAAGTTTTTAACGCAATTCCAAATCTTCTTCCCCACAGAATACCATTAAATCAACAGATTTCGTGGTTTATGTTTGCGACAAACTATTGCCATTGAGTACATGGAATATGATTGCCACTGCCGTGGCACAGGATCAAGTGCAGTTACGTGTACTGAAGGTTTTTGCTGAAATGTGTACATATACAGATGTTTTGGAGAATGCCGCACAACGTATCGATAATGTCTATCAAGTATTGAGGGTATGTTGTACAATTCACATTTTTATTAAAATTTTAAATTCTATAATGAAAAAATTATTTTGTTTTGTAATTTCAGGAATACATGCCCTTACCCAAACTCACCGAGGAGGAAGATGCTAGCAGCCCACCACCATCATTTCAATTTTCTCATGCCGAATGTTTACTCTATGCATTGCATACATTGGGTAAAAAACATCCCGATAGTTTGACATTTGTTACCGATGCTGAAAAATTAAAAGATTTCCGTTCAAGGTTACAGTATTTGGCTCGTGGTACACAGGGGTAAGTTTGCAGAACTTTGTTTTTGTATATTTTGTAATATATATTAATTATATTTGTTTTTTATTTCGTATAGCTACATTAAAAAATTGGAAGAAGCTGTTAAGGGAAAAACCGCCGAAGAATTAAAGACTGAAGAAAATCAATTGAAAGTTACCGCATTGAAGACCACATCAAATATTAGCATTCTAATACGTGATCTTTTCCATTCACCACCCAGTTTTAAACATGAAATTCAGCTATCATGGGTTAAGCGAAAGAATGTAAGTAGAAAACACCATAAGCAAAAAAAAATTAATTTTTATATCCCATTAAAGTTCAAAAGGGTTGGGAAAGGAAAACTAGATGGTATTGTTAAATATTGGGAGAATACAGAGAACAATCCGACATTTGCCCCGCTTACTTTGCTGGCTTGTTACAGAACGGCTTGTTATCTTTCGGAATTTTTCTTTCAAACAATACAAGAACTGCCTCATCTGCTTGCGCAAGTACCCATGCTTTAGATCCTTATAACAGCACGGGTAGTATCAGCGTATTGTAAAGTGTGGGTTTGGTCTGACGGGAGTTGGCCTTGTTGCTAAACTGCTTACTTAGACCATAGAAGCATCTGTTGGCAATCACAATCCTTCTTCGAATTTCAAAGTTGATGTCATTTGTTTTATTTATGGCGGTACCGAGGTATATTAAATCTTTAACTACCTGGAAGCTGTAGTCCTCAAGTTCCACAGTTGGTCCGAGTGTACTGGACTTCTTGCGCGTTGATACCACCAGCTTGGTCTTCTCGCCGTTTACAGCCAGACGCACTTTGCCAGAATTTTTCTCAATTTGTTCAAAGGTGGCTGTTACCGCTCGCCATGTTCGACCCATTATGTCGATGGTCATCGGCGTAGGCGAAGAACATGTGTTGTTTGGTGTACAGAGTGCCATTTCTGTTCAGAAAGACGGGTGCGTACCTTGGCTTCCACAAGGTAATGGTCCGAATCGATACACTGGATGAATACCTTCCGTCAGTAACAACATGGTCAATTTGATTTCTCGTTGCTTGATCTGGAGAAATCTAGGTGGCCTTGTGTATATCGAGATACTGGTGCTGCTAACTACCATGTTTTTTGCTGCCGCAAAGTCAATCAATCTCATGCCGATGTCGGATGTTTCTTCATGTAGGCTGAATTTTCCAACGATGGGGCCAAAGATATTTTCCCTTCCTATTTTTGCATTAAAATCTTCTAGCAGAATTTTATTTGTCATGGCCAGGGCAGCGATCATATGCTGTTTCTAGGCGCTCGTAAAATATGCCTTTGCTCTGCTCACCTTTGTGTTCGGAGCATGGGCGCCAATAAGACTGATGTAGAAAAACTTTGATTTTATGCGAATTATAGCAATTCGCTCATTTACTGGAGTGAATCTGGAGACGACGAGGTCCTTTATTCTCCTGTTGACCATAAATCCGCAGCCAACTTCATGTCTCGTTTCATGGCAGCTATAATACAGTGCGTAATCGTCTGATATACTTACGCCTGTCTCTTTCTATCGGATTTCCTGTAAGGCAATAATATCGGCTTTGTACTTCTTGATTACATCCGTCAAAGCGAAAACTGCGACTGTTATGTACAATGTGCGCACATTCTAAGTGCAGATTCGCAGATCGTGGTTCTTTATACTTTGCGGGGGTCGTCAACATTAGGAGGGTTTGGTTTTCTTTTTCTTTGCTTCTTTTTCATAGTAGGAGTGGGTTTCCGAGTGTTGGCAACTAACCCGACGCCTCAACCCATTTTTTATAGTTTTTATGGGTAAACTCGCACATATCAGCTCACTATTTCAATGGGTGATGGAAAATAGCTACCCCAGGTGACGCTACGGGGAGGTCAGTGTCCACAATTGAGATGAAAGGTGGTACATATCATCCCCTACGCCACCCGCGACAGATATCTAAGTTAACTTAAAAAAGGAAATCATCACCCGAAGCTTTTGGGGTGCACACCTTCTTGACATTTTTGGTATATATAGCGACAGGTGGTTTAGTATAAATCTGCCAAAATCTGCGTACTTTTATATTTTATTTTCCTTATTAAATTCTATTTTTTACTAACACAAATATTTTTTTCTTTTAGACGAAAATCGGCTCGAAACGTCATGCACCCATAACATTCGATGGTAAAACCGAAAATGGCAAAGATGACGAAAAGAAAACAAAGAATGCAAGTGATCAGAAAATTTATTCACCACCATCGGGCAAATATTCGGCAAAGGTGCAAAACTATGGTGGTGGTAACAACAATCGTCAACGTTCACGCAATAGTGGTGGCGGTGGTGGTTTCAACCGAAATCGACGCAATTTTAATAAGAAATATTAAGAAGTAGAGAGGAGGTGCAACAAATTTGAAACCACAAATGATATTTTCTATTGTTGCTGCTGAACATCAGACGAAAATCAAGCAGGCAAGAATGGAGTGTGGGAGAATGATTTGGATTTCTCTCAGATGGAGTAGTAGTTTATTTTTATTTTTTAACTTACAAAAAAACTACCAACAACAAACTGAAATCAACAGCTAGTCTTTACTTACTTCTTCAACAACATTAGGATATAAAACAAACAAAAACAAAACAACCATTTCTTCTTCCTCAAAAAACAACTTCTTTTTCTACACAACACGAACAACAACAAAAATTGTATTATTAATGATGGCCGAGAGAGAGAATTCCATATGTGTGACAGAGAGAAAGGACAACTACGATGAAGCTTTGGATAAATTTCTTATCGTCAGAGGAGTGGATTGAATGTGTGATTGCAAATAATTTCGAATCAAGGTAAGAAATAAAATTCTTTTCTTAATAATGTGTGTTTTCTTTTATTTCAGCGCAACCACAAAAACACCATCACAATTGACATTCGGAGAGAATATCTTTTGCAACTCCCATATTGTGGTATTTCAAAAGTCTACTCTCCTGAATGTCAAAACTTCTCAACAAAAAATAATTCTTTTTTATATCATTTTCTCATCATTACTTAATTTTTTCGATCTTTCTTTCTTGTGTAAGCCATTGTAAAAAGCTTAATTTATAAATATGCGTAACTTCTTCTTTTTTTGCAATTAACATTTTAAAAAAATGTTCACAATTTCTATATGTATATTTGCAACATATATGTACTCGCAAGAAACCAAAAGAAACAAAGGGCAAACTAAATGATTCCTTATTTTTCAACATTTTAATATAATTGAAAAAAAATTACATACGAACGAGAAGAACAACTCAATACAAAACTTTTTTCTTGGGATCACATTTTTTTTAATTTTAATTTTTTATTTTATTTTATACAATAATTTTGAACTAAATTTTGTTTTATTTTTGAACACATTTCCAAAAACAATAAAATGTTTTGTTTTGAGTTGCCTTTTCTTTTGGGAAACATTTTAATTTGATTTCAAATTCCAAATAATTTCTACTTTGCTCTAAAAATATAAAAACAAATACAAAAACAAACAACTTTTCACAATTATATATTATAACGTTTTTAAATATACTACAATAACAAATAACAAACCAAAATCTCCCCATAAGAATTAAAAACACATTAAATATTAAAAATAAAATAAATAAACAATAAAAAAATTAATTAAACACAAAAAATAATGGATTTATTGATGACAATACTTTATGTTTAGCCCATTGATATTTTTCCAATGAAAATGAAAAAAATATATATATTTGGTTTCTTTCTCCACATAAACAATATATTTGAATTCACTTTTAGAGTTATTTAGTTGTCATTCTTTTCTCTCTCGTTTTTTGAAAAGAATTTATCCCAATTCAAATATATAAACAGTTATTTATATTTTGAATCAAAAAAATAACGACGATGCAAATAACGAGTGTAAATTTGCCGTTTTTTAATCACATCCATCAGTTATAAATAAATCGAAAAAATAAATAACAAATATTTAATATATTTCAAAATAAAATACATAAAAATAAAAACAAACAAATTCTGTGGTTTTTTGTTATTACAATGGATCTGCATTCGATTTTAGAAGGACAGATCAATAATTACTAATAAAAAATGTGACCACTTTCACGTACCATATCCTCAGGATATGTGTATCCTCAGGATATGTGTATATTGGATATGTGTAGCGAGGCAATTAAAGGGATGCAGAGTAGTGTTGCGAGCCTGTACCTCAAACTGGGATGGGGGCAAATTATGACAGTCGATATCACACCTACTTACTTAGGGAAAATATGTTGATGGTCAGCAACTGATAGCTACAACGATCGTTTGATGATTGAAATTCTTTCTGACATTTGCTCACGAATGAAAACGAACATTCCCGAATACTCAAAACAGCAACAAGAATAACAACAAACGTTCGTGAATTCAATAGTTGTTGGACTTAGCTATCTATTATGGGCCTGTCGTCAAAAATGATAAGAATTATACAGGGCATAAACGAAAACACGACAACGAAAATCTGGGATGGAAATTTTTATTTAAATTCGTTCTGTGGCGTGAAGCAGGGATGGATACTAAGTCCAACACTTTTTTCATTGTATCTTAATGATTTACCAGATTCATTACGTGAAGCTATAAATGTCGCAGATACTAATATTAAAGTTTTACTTTATGCTGACGATATTGTAATTATGTTAGATACTCCAAACGGCTTACAACAAATGATAAATGCGCTCGAAATGTATTGTTGCAAATGGGATTTAAAATTTAATTTAACCAAATCAAAAGTGTTAGTTTTCCGGAAAGGTAGTAGAATATCTCCACATTTAAAGTGGCACTATGCTGGTCAGAATATAGAAATCGTTAACAGATATAATTACCTTGGAATTGAACCAATTTTGTGCTATCTTTCAATTCACATTTGCAATCAAAACTCATTTCTTCTAAGATGGCTATCAATTCATAGAGATGGTATTTACCGGGTATTTACCCGGTAAATACCCAAGGGGTGGGTAAATACCGGGTAAATACCCATTTGCGGGTATTTATTTGGGTATTTACTACATTGTATCGGTAATACAACATCTTACACCCTATTTCCGGGTTTCTGTATCAAATCGATTTAGAATGGATAGTTTTACGATACTTTAAAGACGTGGGTAAAAACTTGGGTAAATACCCGAGTTTTTACCCAAAAATTGGGTATAAACTCATTAACTGCAGAACCACTTGACATAGGCGGCCAAAATTTTGCACACATGTTTCTAATGTCAAAGCAAATATAAAAATCCAACATGGGGTCCCTGGGTCCAAGTTTTGATATAGCCCCCATATAACCATATCTCCCGATTTAAGGTATTTTTTGTCTATTAGACACATTTTACAACCAAATTGGCCGTAATTTGGCACAGAGTGTTCTTTTTGAGTACAAAATGTCCATGCAAAATTTTATGTATGTAGGTCCACGTTTACTGGTAGCCCCCATACAAAGGTACCCCTATTTTGAGTATTTACCCAAAAATAGGGTATAAACTCATTAACTGCCGAACCACTTGACATAGGCGGCCAAAATTTTGCACACATGTTTCTAATGTCAAAGCAAATATAAAAATCCAACATGGGGTCCCTGGGTCCAAGTTTTGATATAGCCCCCATATAACCATATCCCCCGATTTAAGGTATTTTTTGTCTATTAGACACATTTTACAACCAAATTGGCCGTAATTTGGCACAGAGTGTTCTCTTTGGGTACCAAATGTCCATGCAAAAATTTATGTATGTAGGTCCATATTTACTGGTAGCCCCCATACAAAGGTACCCCTATTTTTAGTATTTACCCAAAAAATGGGTATAAACTCATTAACTGCAGAACCACTTGACATAAGCGTCCAAAATTTTGCACACATGTTTCTAATGACAAAGCAAATATAGAAATCCAACATGGGGTCCCTGGGTCCAAGTTTTGATATAGCCCCCATATAACCATATCCCCCGATTTAAGGTATTTTTTGTCTATTAGACACATTTTACAACCAAATTGGCCGTAATTTGGCACAGAGTGTTCTCTTTGGGTACCAAATGTCCATGCAAAAATTTATGTATGTAGGTCCATATTTACTGGTAGCCCCCATACAAAGGTACCCCTATTTTGAGTATTTACCCAAAAAATGGGTATAAACTCATTAACTGCCGAACCACTTGACATAGGCGGCCAAAATTTTGCACACATGTTTCTAATGTCAAAGCAAATATAAAAATCCAACATGGAGTCCCTGGGTCCAAGTTTTGATATAGCCCCCATATAACCATATCCCCCGATTTAAGGTATTTTTTGTCTATTAGACACATTTTACAACCAAATTGGCCGTAATTTGGCACAGAGTGTTCTCTTTGGGTACCAAATGTCCATGCAAAAATTTATGTATGTAGGTCCATATTTACTGGTAGCCCCCATACAAAGGTACCCCTATTTTGAGTATTTACCCAAAAAATGGGTATAAACTCATTAACTGCAGAACCACTTGACATAGGCGGCCACAATTTTGCACACATGTTTCTAATGTCAAAGCAAATACAGAAATCCAACATGGAGTCCCTGGGTCCAAGTTTTGATATAGCCCCCATATAACCATATCCCCCGATTTAAGGTATTTTTTGTCTATTAGACACATTTTACAACCAAATTGGCCGTAATTTGGCACAGAGTGTTCTCTTTGGGTACCAAATGTCCATGCAAAAATTTATGTATGTAGGTCCATATTTACTGGTAGCCCCCATACAAAGGTACCCCTATTTTGAGTATTTACCCAAAAAATGGGTATAAACTCATTAACTGCAGAACCACTTGACATAGGCGGCCAAAAATTGGTTCAGATGGTTTTAATATCAATACAAATACTGGTGTGGGAAATGGGGTCTCTGGGTCCAAGTTCTGATATAGCCCTCATGTAACCGTAACTCCCGATTTTAGGTAATTTTTATCTAGTAGCCAATTTTATTGGCTGGAATTTGGCTCAGAGAGTTCTCAATGAGTACCAATTGTTTACTCTGGTCCACGTTTTCTGTCCTATATAACGGTCCTGATTTTGGGTATTTAAATATATTTAACAGCCGAACTAATTGACGTGTGTTTGGAAGACCCCAATTCCCATACAGGAAATAATGTGGATTTTGAACCATTTGTGTCAAAAACCACCTTAAATCGGTAGGTACGGTTATGTGGGGGCTATATCAAAACTTGGACCCAGGGACTCCATGTTGGATTTCTGTATTTGCTTTGACATTAGAAACATGTGTGCAAAATTGTGGCCGCCCATGTCAAGTGGTTCTGCAGTTAATGAGTTTATACCCATTTTTTGGGTAAATACTCAAAATAGGGGTACCTTTGTATGGGGGCTACCAGTA